CTCCTCTTCAGTTTTATTTCCCCATATATATATATATATATATATATATATATATATATATATATATATATATATATATATATATATATATATATATATATATAAAGAGGCGGAAGCCCGAAGACATCTTATCACAGACATTAGAAGGAGACAGTCATCACTTTCGGCCATGTTATGAGAAGAGAGAAAATAGAACATGTTGTGACCACTGGAAAAATCTGTGGAAGGAGGGATAAAGAAAGACAACGAGAGAAGATTCGTGACAGTTTTGTTGCATGGCATGGAGGTGTGTCGGCACACGAACTGATACATGCTGCAGGAGATCGTGGATTATAAAGAGGCATGATCGGCAAGGCACCTGCTGATGATATATATATATATATATATATATTATATATATATATATATATATATATATATATATTCGCGCTCGCTCACATACAAGCTGTGGCCAGGCGATATTAAATTCTTCTACACTGTAATGTATATAAAAAGAAAAGCAACAAATCAACACGGACTGGGGAATGTAAAGGCAGCGTAACTTATAAATAAGCGAATAAACCAGGTATGTACAGTCGTGTCAGTGTATACCTGTTATTTCTCTTTTATACTAATCAGTCTAGGTTGATGTGTGCCTTGCGTTGGATGCAGGTGGAATATTTATGTATGCATGTCTGAAATAAAATATTAATGCGGGAAAAGTGCTTATGGTAATGTAGATTTAATTGTGTGTTTGCGTACATGTTGGGTAAATATCATTTGGGAACTTGAGTTTATCGACGTCAATGTTATACGTGAACAATGGTAAAAGGTCATGCGTCCGAACTTTTGATTGTATGAAAGCCCCACCCTGGCTGTTGCCTGGAGCCCTATAACCTAACCTTTCCCCGTGTTATCCTAATCCGAATGGTGGCGCTTCGTGTCACCGGGTGTTTATCTCTCAGTGTGATGTCCTGGTGGAGTTGAAAGTCAACATCATCATCACACAATGGTAGGTTTAGGAGAGGAAAAAGGGTGTATGTAACTTTCGTAATTTATTGGCTTTAGTGTAACATGTATTGGAGTACCACATTTTTTCTAAGTGTGGCTAATACGATAAGGGCAAATGAACGTTTATGAATGGTATGGGTGTTTAGCTGTAGGAAGTCAGGAATGACATTTCTCCACGTTGACACCATCTGGGTATAATTTGCTATGTCCATGTTTATCTATGCCATTCAACATTATGGAAATGATGTTGTCAATATTATTGTTAATATTTCTTTCCATGATATGTCATAGTACCCAATTTAGGCATATCGACTATAAGCCAAGTGCCGTTATCAAAGATATCCGTTATTCGAACCTTCTTCTTTTCTTTTCGTTTAACGCCTGTAAACTCTTTCGGAAAGTTGTGGGCATTTGTCCACTTATGGACTATAGTCTTGTTCCAGAACGTAACATTTCCGTGAACATCTGTTTTACAGATCTGGCATACTGTATGTTCCTTTGGTCATTTTCACATCAACCGCCTTTACATCCCCGGACTGCATCTGGTACCCAATCAAGGCTAGGTATAACTGCGAGCAAGGTCATTTTTGAAAAGAAAAAAAAAAGGCCTGCTTTCGTCAGGACCGAAATCAGTGACCTTCCTATACGCAGACATGCGTCTAACTGCTACACAATCGCGCTTCCCTTCTTGTCTTACCACCAGTATTTTGAATACATCAAATCTCAGAGGGTGAGAGAGCAGTCAGCTGTCAGTTAATTAATTAACTACAGCAGTAATTCCCAAACTGTATGTCGCGGCGCCCCATGGAGCCGCGACCTCTTCACAGGGGCGCAGTGAAATATTGTGAAAGTTTAATAATTAATTTAACCAAGACACGAAAGGTCATGCTTTTACTTAGCTAAGGGCGCCGTGGAAACATTTTAACTGAAAAAAGGCGCCGCCGCGACCAAGAAAAGTTTGAGAAACACTGAACTAAAGAGTATATCTACAGCAAGATACATTAGTTTGGCAATGAAAGAATGTTGTTGCTGTTAAGTTTAGTGTATTCTCATGCTTTAACACTTGCCTGTCGATGTGAGAGTTCCGGGTCAGAATCCTCATTAACTCAGATATTTTTAAAGCAGCTGCCAGGTCACCATCTATATTACAGGTACCAGCTATTGTCATGGGAAGTAAAGGCGATCGATGTGGTGCTGATCACATCACTACCTCTTTGTCTGTAAAAGAATGGGTTTAAAACCATGTGCCAGTTGGCCTGAAGTATTTAAAAGACTTGCCTCTCATGCCTTACCTCTGACCATTCTCCTTTAGCCCAGTATCCCGTGCACATGTGAGTGTTACAGGACCGTGTTTCATCTGGCATCGGCAATGAGCATAGATGGTCTTCAACTTCTACCTCTTTGGTGACATCGTCCCACCTTTCGCTGCGAACACACTGCACAGTACGCTCTTGAGACCCGCTACCGCACTCAGCTGAACACGGACTGAATTCGGAGACTGCCCACCTGACTCAACAAAGGAAGAAACATATGTCCAGGCCTAAATAGGTGCTGCAGATTTGATATGTGGGTGGTGGGGGGCGGGGCGGGGTAGAGATGACATATAACTACATATTTTTAACATGCAAAAGTATCTTTAGAAAATGTAAAAAAAAAAAAAAATGCAAATATTTACTCTACACTTCCTGCAGAATAGTTCCCTTCGGCAACTACACTTTTCCCAACATCTATACAGTTGTTGGAAACCTTCCTAAAACCAATTCTTCGACAACTCTTATAGCTGCTGCGTTGTATTGGCGATAGCGCCCTGAGCATCCTTAAATCGCTGCCCCTTTCAGTGCCGACTTTGAGCTAGGGAACAAGAAAAAATCAAGTTGTACCAGGTCGGGAGAATCAGCATGTGCAGCTGCAAAGGCCAGCACTATTTTGGTGTGGCAAACATTTGTGGACGGCAGAATATACTAGTAGTAAAATGTTTTAGGTACATATCACGAAAACCACCCCATCCTATCTGGCGGGAGATTTTCTACAGGTTGTCTTTTTGTTATTTTCAACGTTATAAGCATTCTATATGCCATGTTGTAAGCGGCTAGAAAAAAAAAAAAAAAACAGTTGAACAAGCTCAATGTCATCTGCCACGTGGGAGAGCTCAAGATTTTCTCGCCGGGCCTCGAGCAAACGGGACCTGCTTTTCTGCATGGTGATTATAGACGACGAAGGCGAAAGAACGCATGTCCTTCCACCCTACAACACAGGACAGTCCGTGGGAACCGCACGGACATGAAAGGGAGCTGGCACAAAATGTCGCTTCCGACGAGATGTTGTGATTTTGGTGATGTGTACCTATTTATAAAATAAAGAGAAAGATGGTAAAATAGCATTTGAGTTTAGGGCAAGACCACACCCTCCTCTTTGAGTATAGGGCAAGACCACACCCCCCTCTTTGAGTATAGGGCAAGACCACCCCTTCCCCCATCTTTGAGTATATGGCAAGACCACACACCCCCTCCTTTAGTATAGGACAAGACCACACACCCCCTCCTTTAGTATAGGGCAAGATCACACACCCCCTGCTTTAGTATAGGGCAAGATCACACACCCCCTGCTTTAGTATAGGGCAAGACCACACACCCCCTCCTTTAGTATAGGACAAGACCACACACCCCCTGCTTTAGTATAGGGCAAGACCACACACCCCCTCCTTAAGTATAGGGCAAGACCACACATCCCCTCCTTTAGTATAGGGCAAGACCACACACCCCCTGCTTTAGTATAGGGCAAGACCACACACCCTCTACTTTAGTATAGGGCAAGACCACACACCCCCTACTTTAGTATAGGGCAAGACCACACACCCCCTACTTTAGTATAGGGCAAGACCACACACCCCCTACTTTAGTATAGGGCAAGACCACACACCCCCTTTTTTAGTATAGGGCAAGACCACACACCCCCTTCTTTAGTATAGGGCAAGACCACACACCCCCTTCTTTAGTATAGGGCAAGACCACACACCCCCTTCTTTAGTATAGGGCAAGACCACACACTTCCTCCTTTAATATAGGGAAAAACCACACACCCCTCCTTTAGTATATGGCAAGACCACACTCCCCCTCCTTTAGTATAGGGCAAGACCACACTCCCCCACCCCCTTTTCTTTGAGTATAGGGGAAAGATCCCTACGCCTGCCGTTGGCAGGACCCCCACACCCCTTTTGAGTATGTCAAGACCCCCACTCCCTTTTAGTGTATAGCAAGCTGTAACTTTATAAAAATATTATCCCTATTTTTATTTGGAGACCAGTTTGGCTCTGGAGTCAACCCAAATTAACAAAAGTCGATACCAAAAATTTTCAGAGCTTCAAAGACACTGAAAAAAAAAAAGTAAAACGTCAGGTAATAATCAGGGAGGTTGAAGTTGGTACATTCATACATATTTAGTGCCTTGTCAACCCTTGCTTAGCAAAACTGTACTTTTGGCTCGACCCCAGATGTTTTGATACTTTTTAGAAATATCTCATCAGTAGTTTCAATGTTGCCATTGTAGGCCGGATCCAATAGGTATTACTTAAGAAAAACGTACGCCTATTAGGCCATTCTTCATGAAATTTCCAATTTTTTCGAATTATTAGTGCAAGATTACCCAAATATGCTGGGGGAAACCCCTAGAACAAAGTTGCTTTAAAATTCCAGAAAAAAATATGTGGAGATCAAAATCCTTTCCCATTAGTATCAAATTGCATGCATAGTCTTTTGTATTATCTGATCCCTCTGAGCTGCAGAAAGAGTTTTCTCACAGCTTAACAATGTTCAGAGGCCCTGGTGAGGATATGCAACCCCACCTCATTATTTCACCATCTATAACATGCAAAAGGCAGACACTAACAGCATTATCTGTTCCAGAGTTATCTTTGCTACACTTGTTTGAACAAAAAATAAAAGACATACCCGAGTCCTGTTCACTTTCATCACTCATAACATTTGTCACTAGCAGAAGCTGGGTGAGCAATATCACCTGTGGATGAGATTTGCATTAGTCTTTGTAACAATCTACAGACTGCAACATTCGAAGATTGCAATGCTTGATGAATGTGCTAACTGTACTTGTATTGATGAGGCTCAAATGTACAGTTTAAAAAAATGCAGTAATACTGTAATATGACATACATATCGTAAGACTGGATAGCTCATTTTGTATATATAAACCATTAGGTGAAAATTCACTCGGTGAGAAACGAAACCTCAAACTACGCTAATTTGTATGGGGCTTATGGGACAGGAGGAGTGGTAGGAAGAGGCTGAATGAGAAGAAGACGAAGTAGAAAAGAAAAAGGAGAAGAAAAAGAAGTTGAAGAAAAAGATTTGGAAGAAGACGATTAAGAAGAAAAAGAGGAAGAAGAAGAGGAACAAGAAGATTAAGAAGAAGATTAAGAAGAAAAAGAAGAAGAAGAAGAAGAAGAAGATTAAGAAGAAGAAGATGAAGAAGAAGAAGAAAAAGAAGAAGAAGAAGAAGAAGAAGAAGAAGAAGAAGAAGAAGAAGAAGAAGAAGAAGAAGAAGAAGAAGAAGAAGAAGAAGAAGAAGAAGAAGAAGAAGAAGAAGAAGAAGAAGAAGAAGAAGAAGAAGAAGAAGAAGAAGAAGAAGAAGAAGAAGAAGAAGAAGAAGAAGAAGAAGAAGAAGAAGAAGAAGAAGAAGAAGAAGAAGAAGAAGAAGAAGAAGAAGAAGAAGAAAAAGAAGAAGACGAAGAAATAGAAGAGGAGGAGGAGGAGAAAGAAGATTAAGAAACAGAAGATTAGGAAGAAGACTAAGAGGATGAAGATTAAGAAGAAGAAGAAGAAGAAGAAGAAGAAGAAGAAGAAGAAGAAGAAGAAGAAGAAGAAGAAGAAGAAGAAGAAGAAGAAGAAGAAGAAGAAGAAGAAGAAGAAGAAGAAGAAGAAGAAGAAGAAGAAGAAGAAGAAGAAGAAGAAGAAGAAGAAGAAGAAAAATAGAAGAAAAAGAAGAAGCAAGATTTAGCTTAGATTAGACAACAAAAAACAAGGAAAAGACATATAGGACTGCACTCAAATTTACATCTTTATTCTACTCCAAGTGACGACATCTTTAGCAGTGCAATCGTTGTGAGTGATACGTAACTCTATTTCTTAAAATGTATATACTTCTATATTTGTATACTTGTTATTATTAACATTGTAGTCGGTTTTCGTTTGTTTCACCTACAGCAAATACGCACACATAACTACGACATACCTTAGATCTAGATCTTGAATCCTCTAGACTGGAAATCTCAGTACTCTCTTCACATTTTAATCCCCTCTCTAAAAGCATTTCACATCCCGTAATCTGGTTCCAAACATCAGTCTGTCAAGTTGACAGCACTATCCGTTCACGAGCTACCTATCTGTCCATGTCAGTTACCTATCCCCCTCCATTTTCAGCTCATTTGCCATCACCATCTTCTGTGTACTACTGTTCTATTAATTGCAGACGATCTCTTTTCTTATCTCTTTTCGCACATGCCTAACATTGAATTACTCATTCAGTGACAGATCCTAATTTCTTAGAATAACATAAGCCGTTTAGAACAATAGAAATTAAAAAAAAAATTTATATGTCTTCGACTTTCAGAGCAACCGATATTGTATCTTCAGTCTGTACCTGTATTAAAATGTCTATCTATTTGTCCCTGCTGGTTAGTGACGTTAGTGAATGCTTTCAACAATTGCATGACCCTCGAGTACTAAGACTCGATTTTCGGACAGAGAGAGAAGAGTCGGACTGTGGAATAGGTTAGGTGCCTCACTACGTAATTCCTACATAAGGTGTGCTGTAGCTGACTTTCACCGTGAAGACAGCACACAATTTCTTTTTTGCTGTCAAGTTTTCAATTGTCTTTCTTAGAAGTATAACCGATAGCAGTGGCTAGAAAACAGTCGAACGCGAATGTTTCTGCATTTTGAGCAATTATGGCTATTGTTCATACAACAGTGATTTAGAGGGAAAAGATATTCTTTTTCACAAATTTGTATTTAACGGAAATAGTACATTAAATATGTGACGAACTACTCTTATTTTAAGGGGAAAAATAGTTTCCTGTTTTTTACACCCCCCCCCCCCCCCAACCCCCACCCAGGAAGGCGAATTTTTATTATTGATTTGTGACTGCTTGGTTGATGCAGTCTAATATGAGTATAAGTGTATGTCAGTTTGAGTGACCACGGCCAGCGTGATGTTGAATACAACACATATCAAGCCTGTAACAATTTTGCTCTAGCACAATTACTTATTACCAGAAAAATACCTCCCAGTGTGGGTTCTGGGGCTGCCATTGTGGTTAAAACAAGAACAGACCCACTACCTAGCTAAATGCATGTCGTAAGAGTCGACTAATTGGGAGCTTCCATCGAAGTCGGAGTACATCTACCTGAGAGGCTAGGAACCAATAGTTTGTATACGAATGAGTCAGATCTATACAACAGATGTGCACACATAACTCAGGATCTGGAACACTACTAG